ACGGACTCAGAAAAGTTGAGCAGATCGCTTGTGGCTGTCAAAACATGTTAGAATTGTAGAGCGGACGAATAGGCGAACGGTGGAAGACCACATCCTAGGAAAAACAACACCAAAAGTACCACACCTGCCCAAGGGGCAGGCTTAGGCGAGAATCCTTTGGCATACGAAGAAGTGAGGGAGTGGGAATGCCGGAACAGCTAGTTCTCTTCGAGGATTACCTTTCACTTTCCCCTGCTTAGTAGAGCTGCTCTTCCACTCTACCAACTTTTCCGCATAAGACATCGCCGATGCTTTCATAAGCGGGGAGCATAAAGCGGATGTCCGTAGTACTGTTGGCACGTAAATATCAAAGCATCACAAAAACAGGGATAGATTTGTGGCACTTGTTCTAATCACAATTTAGGGAAAAAATCATGTACACCAACCATATAGCGCTAATCGCACTTTGGTCACTACAGAACATTTAAACACTCTTCAGCCCAAAAATCTACATGGATATACCACTTATTATGCACAAATTTGCAAGATATTATCCTTACAACTGGATCGCTTAGGAAGCTTTTAATGCTTCTCTAATACATTATTTCCATACTCTGCAGCAATCGCAAAGCGAAACCCTTTTTGACAAGCTAACTATAGAAAATCATTTAGAATACCAGCTGACAAGATTTACTACATCAATCAAGCGTTGTGCTATGACAAATCTGTCAAGCATATGGAAATTACTGAAGAAACAGATTTGAAGATAGAAACATCACCGAGGCGCACAGCTTTCAGATTAGTGGTTAGTTCATCGAAATCCAATAACACAGCTACCAAGACAGTTTTTTCTGCTTGAAAGAAGAAAAGCAGAGCCTCATAAGCTTTTGAAGAAGATTGCACATGATGGTTACTTAGGCGTCATTAGACGACCTCTCTACGTCAACAGTCTTCGTCACTAGGTATCTCGAAAAAAAACTCAGAGATAGCAGTCATTACGTTGAAGTCGACATGGTTCCAGGAGGGCATGTAATGGATCCTCCATATTTTCCTGCTCATCAGGTCGTGTACTCGAAATTTGCAGGTAAGCTCTCTTATAACTTTTCGAAAATTTATTGAAATCGCAGATACGTTTAGATTCTATACAAGCATATGGTGGAGAGCCATGCATACATGGAGCAAGTGAGAGCAAAGCTTGGTCCAATACAATTGCGTTCTTTAAGAAGTTTCTCGGATCTCCTAGGCCACTTGGGGACTATCGAAGAATAGTTGCAACTGCACGTTCTCACTTGTGACTATTACCCCTTACTCATACATAATGAGCAAGAATAAACACTCTTTATTGCTAATCTGAAAGAAAAAAAAACAATACTGTTCTAGGGTTCTGCATTTCTTAGTGTTTCTTGCAAATTACATGAAGAATGGAAAATAATTTAACATTTTTGTTGAAGTGAACTGGAGGTACCCTATGACTTAAGTGATCGCCCAACTCGTTCACGCTACAAGTTCGAGGAGGTAGGCCGCCATTAGCTTTGTGCCCTAAAGAGCGTGCTGAGAAACCTTTATCCTTTATTTAGGATTCTTGAAAGTTCAAACCTGAATGTAGTTAGAGCGGTTCATCTTTTCGTTTTGCGAATGGGGCATGTCATCGCCGGCACCAATTGGCAGCAACATAACACTTTTACCCGTCAAATCCTTAAAGGGAAAAAAAATCATCAAAAGAGACTGAAGGCTAGATCAAAGGCAAGTATGATAGAAAAAGGATAAAAACCTGGAACGCAAGCGTGATGGGAATGCTTCCACCTTCGCGAGTGTAATCAGGTTCCACGCCGTAAACTTAAAAGGTTTATTGGTAAATAATTTGCAAAACCATCAACACAAACAATTCTGTAAACAACTTACCCCTTTTGGTTGCACGTACCCCAGCTCGGAAGTTATCATCCTTGTAATCACCTACCCATGGCATACCACTGTGATGTGCAGTAGCTCTGAATAGAAAAGAGTAGAAGACAGCTGTCAACTGCTTGATTGCCCAATGTCATATACTTGAAGCGATTAGGAGATCCGCGCTTAGCCCACAGGTCATTCAAGTAGTCAAGGACAAGTTTGTCCACTATTTCGGGAGTCATATTCGGGACAATACGGATCGAAAACTTGCCTATAACCTGGAAGAAATGTCGTTGAGACAATGTAACCACTTAAGAGTAAACAGATTCAGAGCCTCATACCTTACAAGGAATGATAGTTTTTGCTCCAGCACTGGCGAATGCACCTTCAATCCCATGAAGTGACAGAGATGGATTACGCCAACGGCTCATCAACACCTCTTCTTTAGTGCTTTTCAGAAGTCCATGTGCAGCGATGTCTTTCCTGCACAAGCACTGAGATGCATGAACGGAATTATAGAAATAAAGGGATACAAGCATACCTATAATCCTCCATGTCGAAATCAATCTTAGAATATAGGCTCTTCTCTTCGTCAGTAAGAGGTGCAACAGTATCGTAGATGCCGGGAACTTTTATTGTGCCATCTTGTTCAAGCAACTGTGACATAACCCACACCAAGTCGGTCATTGCTTCTGGCCTGATGAATGAAATTGTACGATAAACAAACAATATAAAATAGTCCTTCTTAAAATAACCAACACGCTGCCTCCATATGACCCTGAGTGAAGATCTTGTTTGGCACAATCAATTTCGATGAAGTAATAGCAGAGACCTCTAAATTGATCATATTTGTTGGAAGTTTGAGCGATTTTCGTACATGTGAAAAATCCTGCTAACAACAAAGAGTAAGATCCGATTCCTCTGCCAGATGCCTAACTGTGAGCACTTGGATTCTTACAAGCTTTATTTTAAAAAAACTGTATGGTGAAGAGAGGCCAAACGTTTTTATTAGGGCCCACATAAAGACTAAAACAATTTTTTGAAAG